TGCAAGTAAAAGTCCAAGAACTTGAAAAATTTATCACCGAAGCCGGAGAAACGGTCATGAGAGAAATGACCAAAAAAGAAAACGAGCAAACCAATCTATTAAAATGGATTGAAGTATACACGAACCAGATCAAGAATCTTGAAAATGATCTGTATACACTTAGATTGAGGTCTTATACCCAATCTACACATTCATCCCAAACACAACATTCTTTTTCACCATCACAATCCTCACACCCTTCACAACCTTCACAATCCTTACAACCATTACACCCGTCACACCCGCAATTTCAAAGTTTGGATGAATATTTCAAATACGAGAATGCACAAAAAGCAAAAGGTAATTTTTTATTTTTTATTTTTTTGATAGAATTTTTATTAATGTAAAGCTCATATTTAGAAAGCGAACAAAAGCATGATTAATTTTAATCTTGCCTTGCCACGCCTCTTCGGCTTGATAATTTATTTGCAAGTTGTATAAAATCACGGAAGCTTGATAAAAATTAATAAAAAGTTTATAGCTATCGCTCTTCACTTCCTATTATAACTTAATATTGAATTGTTCGGATTGAGAAAATTCTTCCCATCATTTTCATTGAGATATTGCATTCAAAGATCCGTTACTCTCTTTATCTTTCTCGTACAGTATTCATGAAGTAGTAATAAATAAGAAATTCATTAAATTGCTGATCCAATATCGCCAATGTAATCCAAAGGGTCGATTACTATTAAACCTCGATTCCATTACTATGTCGGTTTAGAATAAATTATAAATTTATTTTGAAAAATATACTAATGGGATTAAAAATTTTTGCCAAGCCATAAATATCATAAAATAATGAATTATAATGTGGCTCTTGAATCAAAATCACTATCACTTACAAAGGAAATTATTCGGGACCTTAAACATATCTATTTTTAACAAATTTAATAAAGCTTACAACTTTTTTTATTTATAAAATTAGGAAAAAAAAATAATAATAATAAAATTGATTAGTGAGCGTTGCCATGAAGAAATGATTTCTACTCTTCATCCCACACGTCCTGGATTTTTTAAATCCTTTAATAACACCTAATCCGATATATTTGTCAATTACTTCCATAATTTCATTTTTCTTTTAAAGGATTTATACTTAAAAGTAATTGATCTTTGTGGGATTCGATTTGTCCAACCTTTAAAGAACGATTCGAATTCCTCTGGAATTAATTGGATAGCCCCACCAAATTTACAAATTTGCGGAAAGTCTTAGGTGAAGGTTTCGCAATGGCCTCCAATATTCCCTTTCACCTAAATAATTATCCCCACACTCGATCCTGATAATTTCTAATCGTTTACAATTCTTCAAAATAACTCCACATGATCACTCATAAATACAGCGTATGATTAAGGTTGGAGCAGAACTTGGCTATAGCATAGTTTAATGTATCATCGCAGGTTTCAATATAAACCTTTCCAAGTTCTTCCCATTAATTTCCAAGAGATTAATTGGATATTCTTGTTTCGGACATTTCTTTTTAAATTGTAAAACTCGTAATTTTGGGAAGGTATATTGTAGGTTTTTAAGATCCGGTATAATCAGTTCTTGCAAATTTATAAAATTGGCAAGAAATAATAATGATTCCTTTTCTATTCCATCAATATTAAAATTTGGTTAAGGTGGTTGAATGCTTCGTTATAAAGGGAATTATATTGACAAACTTTCAAAACAAAATGGAGATAATCTCATGTATACACTTTAAATTTCGTTGAGCCGAGATTAAATCTGATAATCCATCTAAGACCAGATCTTCAAGAGTTGTGTTTAACGTTTGTACGTTGTGACATTATCGAGATAGATGATAAAAATTTTTTTAATGTCTGAGCATCAGCTAAGATTTTTAAAGAATCGATCGCTCCAGCATAACGAGTGATTGGAATGTACTTGAATGTAACCTCTAGCTCCTTCAAGGTAACTTTGACTCATAAGCATTTTGAAGATTTCTCGCGTTAACACTATATATTTATTGTAAAAGTTTTGCTGACCGTGTCCAAGAAAATTTTCCATGCTTTTTAATAAATGAAGTAATGAAGGTTTTGAGTTTGAGGTTGGGATGATAATTTCTTGATTCGTTTGGTAGACATTCGATTAAAGTGTTACTTAAAATTCCAAAATGTTTTCCATAAAATTCGAGCTGAAACCATACACCAAAGTCGATTGACCAACAAGCACGAATGTAGTGAAGTTTTATCATCTTCCAAATGTTCAGATACTTCATTTAAACAGTCGGCAAGAAGTTGGTTAGGCATTTTAAAATTGAATCGTACCATGATGGATCTGTGGGAATTCTTTATTAATTTGGTAAATTTGTTGAATTCGATCTACAGCAAAGACTTGTTCGTCCGCAACATGTCTTCCAAAGATTGGTTCCAA